GCTACCCACGGGCGTCAGCCATTGCTTCGCGCTGAATGGGAACGACATGTGGCCCGAATGTGCAGGAGTGGAGGGCATAAGAAGCTATTACAGGTGAGACAGTGGCGCGTTCTTGTGTTGGTGATGTGTTTTGCTGCAAGGCAGAAGAACCTGGGCGATTTGCCGGTGGTGCCGCAGTTCAAAAGGGCAGGTGCAGGCTTGACAAATGCTGTTGGCTGTTCATGTGGCTGTTCAGACTCCTTTCATGCAATACAGGAAGTTTTGTGGAGGCCGATTTTCCCCTAGATGCGGGTTTTTAGCTGGAAGTTGGCACTTTGCAGGCTTCATCAGTTGTGGCGGCATCAATAATGGTATGGCCCGCGAGCAAATAAAGTCACCACTGCTGTAGACCGTTCGCTGCCAAGAATTGACAATGACATAATGCGCGCGTAGAGAAACTGCGATGAACAAAATTCCACGATTCTCTGGCAGGAATTGAAGCAGAGCCGCCTGGAACGGGGCCATGACTGCCTTGAGGACACAAAATAAAAGATGAAATTGAGGAGAAGCAATAGCCTCACAGGAGTAACTGTCTCTGTAATTGTCAGGAAAGCATTGATGGAAGTTGGCTTGGCGGCCCCAACACTGTTTGCGCCTGTCATTGGCGCCGCGATGCACTGCGCCAAGAGGGATGTAGGAAAAGCCAAGTACTACTGTCTGCTCATCCTGACAGATGGCATCATCAAGGACATGGAGGTGGGCAGGTTGCACCGCTCATGCCTGCATCAAAGTGGCTTCCAATCGTTGGGATTACATTTGCGGGGCACAGTAAGGGAGGGTCCTTTGCTCATGTTCGGCATTTACAGGCGCACAATGCCACCAGCCACAATGTCTCCCTTTCGGTCACTTCTTCTCTATTGCACTCGAAATCGAAAGATATACGAGTAGCAGCGTAGCATTGCCTCACACAATGTGCAATTATTAGACAAAAATTCAGATGCATATCGAAATGTGAAAGAGAAAAATGAAAGGAAAATTCATAGCGATGTTGATGAATGTAGAATATGATCGATGCCCTCTGTAGCCATAGACTGGTGTCGGCTCCGTTAGAGCTTCGATATTAAGGCCAGTTTTCAGTTTCCCCAACACACACTGGCGAATTATTGCCCACGTCGCGCTGTTTCGGCCCTCGTTGTGACATTCCTAAAAGACCCAAATTGATTTCATTGTTGCACAGTAGTTCTTAACTGTAATTTTATCTTGGCAATGTGCATCAGATGAAAAAGGCACAAAATCATGTTGCCTTGTCCGCTCCATCTCGAATAATGAGACCAAACTAGAAATGCATAAAGTATCTATTTTTGAAAGAATGATACCCAAATACAGAAACGCTGTCAGTCGCTTTGGTTCGTTGGCTTGGAGCCGCAAGAAATTGGCGGCCAGTGTTGACAACCCGAGCTTTGTCATCGAGGCAACACCACGATGGTTTGCTGCTCAATCCGCATTGAAAATCCGATACCATGCGTATCCTCCGCCAGCCGCTGTTGCTTGGTGTTCGCTCACGAACCGCAAAAATAAACCAGACAGTTGGCAGTTGCTCCTTTTTGCTGAAGCAGTCCCGAACCAGGCGTGGGTACCAAGGCATCAACATGACAAACCCACTGGAAATCCTGAGGACCGTATCCTCCAGCCTTCGCACCCAGGAAATGCTTCTTTTCTGGACTCCTTGTTCTCTGCAATTGCGGAGGTGGCCACTCGCAGGCTTGTTATTTACGTTTACGTTTACGTTCTTACGTTCACGTTTGTACACGTAAAAACGTAAATTTGCAAAAGAAGCTATTTTTATGGCTGTTTTTACGGTTTTACGGATCGTCGTGACACACAGGTCGCACGATGGAAGTTGCCCACAGTGATCTGTACTCCGCCCCCTTGAGCGCCGACAGCACGGCGTCCACTTCCCAATCGGCAAGGGCCACGATGCAGTGGAACAGAACTCGTTTTCTGCCCATTCCAGTGCGTCTGGATGCCGTTCCCTGGAGCCTCGAACGCTGTGTGTACTGTCCTTATGTACGCGGGGCTGTTTCACGTTGCATTTACGTATTTTTATGCGTTGTTATGCGTAAAAACGTAAATAGGATCTGTGGTTACGGCGTGAGTAACAAGCCTGGCCACTTGCGCCAGTCATGGCACGCAGCAAGCCGCACGTTTGCCATGGAGACTCTCCACTGGAGACCAATCGCAACTTGGCCAAAGAACCAATGCTCCGCCTTGCAGAGCAGCAGCCATCTCGGGAACACTGCTGCACTCAGCCCCACATGGACTTACGCTCACTGGGTTGGCTGCGGCGCGTGTTTGCACCAGGACACAGTCAGGGCGATCGTGGCCGCCTCGTCGCTGCCGCTGTCGATCCTCATCGTCGGCATCGGCACAGCGGACTTCTCAAAAATGGAGGCTCTGGACTCGGACAGGCGGCTGCTGGAGGCCGATGGGCGGAAGGCGCAGCGCGACATTGTGCAGTTTGTGGAGTTCAACAGGTTCAAGGGGCGGGGGGAGGCGCTCGCCGCGGAGCTGCTGGAGGAGCTGCCGGGGCAGTTCCTGGCGTACATGCGGTGAGGCGGCGGGGTGCGCTTGCCCGGACGCTTGTTTGGTGTCTTTTGAACGCTGCTGAATGGTGCACAAATGAATGAACAAATAAATACATAAATGATAAATGAATGAATAAATAAATATAGTAAAATGTAAAAAAAGCAATAATAAATGAATAAAGTAAGTAAGTACGTAAGCAAATAGCAGTAGGTAGACAAATCAATGCACATAAATTGATTAATTGTTTACTTGAGTGAGTTAATATGTAGATGCCTAAATCGCACAATGCCTCCCTCGTGTCACAGACAATGAGCGTTTGGTTGTGTGCTTCGAACAACTGCAACGTAAAAGGAGGCTTCGCTGAGTGTGGTGCCCCGCTGCCTGCGGCTGTTCAGGTACCACAACATGGAGCCCCTAACTGAGTTGCAGCGGCGAGACGCGGAGGGGCCTACTCCCACTGTTTAGAACGAGGCTCCAATCCATGCCACACGAGCAACGCAAAGCCCATTGCCATCTACCTCGCCGTTGTCGGTGTCCTGAACCTTCTTTTGATTGCATTCATCGGAGTGACGAACCTCAGCCTTTGCACTTTCAGTTGTGTGACAGAATTGACCCCATCAGTGCTTGTTGTGATTCTTTGGTCTTCGCTCGCATAGAAATAGCGGTCTGGAACAACAATTAGGAAAGGGAGCCACCGTCCTTTGCTGCTAGTCGGTGCCTCGGGCAGTGCCCAGTTCAGTGTGTCGGGGCTGCCCTGGGACTTGCGCAAATGGCCATGCACTTGCGGGGTTGGCCTATATAACTGCACTCTAACCGCTCTTGGAGAAGATGTGGTGCCAGGTTCAGTGCTTTGCAACAATTTCTGGCACCATTTTTGGGGGAGGGTGTTCTCTTTGCCACGCTGTTTTGTTGCTGTCGACAATAACCGGATGATGGCAAGGTTGTCCCTGGCTGTCGCTGTGCATGGGCCTGGACATGAGGCTGGTGCATAACCGTGCGGGGCGGCCATCAGTTGGCACGTTAAATGAAGCATTTCGCTGTCGCAGGCCCACGGGACGCATAGTTGCCCAGCTGCCTCTGCGTTCATGGCCAAGCGGAGTGGCGATGTGCACCTGACATAGTGCTGATAATCTATTGCTGAAGGGCGGGCTCGCTTTGCCCCATTAAGTTCCCACCTGGACATGGAATGTACAATGCAATATATATTGGTGGGCGCTGATGCCTCGAATTCCCTGCGAGTGTGCCTACGCAGATGATCTGCAGATGCATGCGAGAGAAGGACAGCCTGTGGGCGAAATCCCTTCTTGACCACCCGGCCCTTTCCCTGTTCGCACATGGCCAGCAACTCGCCTGCATCGCTCTGTGATGAGCCAGCCGTACGAAGAAAACTGCAGGCTGGTTGTGGCCGATATGGAAGGATGCAGCGCCCTGTCCTGTGCGGACGACAGCACTCGATGATGCGACCTTTATGCCGTTCCTGGCTGCAGAATAGCCTCGCATTTGACCCCTGTGCTGGCTTGGTGCCCCCGCGCGCAGCTTTGGAAGAACCAGCTGCAGCCCATTCTTCCACATGTGAGTCGTGTGAAAACTATGGAGATTGCAGGTTAGGCCACTGCTGTGGGTGTTAATGGGGCAGCTACATGTATACATGCAATTGAAACCGTAGCTGGTGCCATTCTTGCCCACTCAGTTGTGCTTTGCGACTGCTGCTGCCCTGTGACTGCGCAAGGACATTCGCCAAGATGGACATGTGAGGCACTGCACGACCCCAGTAGCGTCATGCCAAAAAAACGTGAGCATTCTGCTCGATTTCAGCTACGGCAGGTTCGAGTGGAGATCCACAGTACATCCGTACGTTCATAACATGAATGTCGAGCCACCTGAATCATTGCTTCCCCCCAACCATGAACATATGTTGGCTTCTTCAGCACATGTGTGCTGCCGTCGATATCATTCCTGATTGTGGCGGCACCTGCAGAGCTGCAGAGCGGAGCAGGGCGCCTAGCTGCATGCTCGGTTGGGAGAATGTAACTTAATGAATTCTGCTTCAAAACAAATTTTGATACAAACACTCCAAGATTTCGATGTGGTGCACCGTCCAATGCCATGGCGGAGCGGAGATGCCAGTCCTGGTGGTGTCGGACATGTGCCCTTGTCCTTTCGGCGACACTGGGACGCTACCAGATCTGGCCATGCAGGAATCGCCCAGAGCTGCGCCACATTTGTCATGCGACAGTCTTCAAATGCTCCACCCACCGTTGGACGCATTGGAACGTCTTGTGCCTTCCGCTCATGTTGGTTTCTCTTCCCCCGCCTGAACGCCGTTTCTGACTTTAATTTATGGTGTGATGTACGAAACACAATAATGTGCAGCGGCCGGCGCCGGAGCGACGACCACGCACTCCCTGGCGCCCGCCCACCACCGCCATCTCCCAGACGGGGAGATTCATCAATTTCAAAGGCCGTCAGGTGAATTCAAATCCCACAACGCATCCACCCACCACCTGAAACCCCAGCAGTTCCCCCCACTTCCTCACAGTCCACGCCAGGGATACGCCGGCGGCCTCACGCCTTCCCCTTTAGCGTCATGACCACCTCGTAGGCGTGGCACTCCCTCTCCTCCACACCATCCCAATCCTCCTCCCTCCTGGCCCCGCCCGCCGCCCCCTCGCTATCCCACTGCCCGTAGCAAACTGCCAGCCCGCCGTCCAGCGACCGATGCAGCGCCAAACACTCTGCGCCATTCGCCAAACCCACCTCCTCCACATGGGCCTTCACCCTTTCCACCACACCCGCCTGCTCCCCTTCCCCCGCCCTAAATTCCGCAATGCTCACAAAGTACTGGCCGGCTACGATCTGGGGAATGCCGTACTTACACCTCCAGCACACGATCTCGTACCCCCTGTGGTCTGCCGTCTCTACCAGTTCGCCTACGTTGGCGGTCAGTGCGGCCGCCTCTGGTAGGGCTCTGAAGTTTGTCACGGCCTGCGCACTGCACCACTGTGCGTAGATGGCCGCCTTGGCGCCGTCCAGGCTGCGGTGCAGGGATGCGGACACGAAGCCCGGCTGGGCCGCCGCCAGCGAGAACAGGCCGCGCAGCGCCTCGACGGCGGCGGCCTGCTGACCCGGGCGCACCTGACAAGCAACTTGGCTCAGCAGAAAGGAGGGGAGGTGAAGGTCAACCAATTTGCACACCCCTCCTAAGCGACGAACACTTTTCCAGCGACTGTTTTGGAGAAAGCTTTTCGGGGCGCGCACCTGAACGGATGTTTGGCACAGCAGTAAGCAAGGGGCATCAAGCAAACGGCACCCCAGAAAAGAGGGCGCGCCCAGCAATTGGGACCTCGCTGTTGAGCGCCAGATCCATTTCTCCAACTGCTTTGGGGAAAGACTTTGGGCTCACCTTGTAAAGGACGATGCGCGTCACTAGGGAGTTGTGCACGTCCAGCGCGGCCATCAAGTTCGACCGAGCCCGGAGATGTCGCGAACGCGAGCGGCGCCTTCCTGAGGAATGAGACAATCACCTTCAGCAGCGGCCGGCGCAACGCGACGGCGCGGCGATCGCTTGGCCAGGCGGCCGAGTGGCAACAGGCATCCGTCGACGGAGGACGCAAACGAGGCACGGGGCCCCCGTTGGCCAACGCAGCCTCGTCCGCGGTGCTTGCTCTAAGAGGAACATGGCGCTGCCGCATTGCGGCTCCTCCGCTCGTCGGTATCTTGGGCATTTCAGGCAGGCACGGCTTCCATCCAGCAATGGGGATTCCCGAACGCCCCCAAAGCCGTCCAGAGTGTGCCCACAATGGATTGAGCTCGCTCAGCTGTGCGTCGCGCCGGACGCATCTCCGCCGGCGCGGACGACAGGGCTCGGTGCGCTGGCGAGTTCCCCGTTCGCCTTGCTTCGAAAATGTCCATGTCTGCCGTTTTCGCGCGCTCAATTCTTGAACTGCAACGTCACCGATTCGCTCACCTACGCCAGGTGAAGACCTGTTGAGTCGCTGTTCGGAGGGTGAGAGCTGCTGCTGACGGGGTAGGATGCCCAGTGCCTGCGGCTGCTCGGCACGATTGGCACCCTGCAAGCAACGGGCTGACACAGATCGGGAACTTTGCGCAGCAGGCGAACCACGCCCCAAAGAACTCGTGTGGCTTCCACATTTAGCCTAAACCTAACGGCACTGTTAGGTTTGCTGCCCCAAGGAACCCCGCGGGTTCCAACATTGTAAACTTGCATCAATATTGGTTGCGTTGATACGCTGGGTGCGGGGTGGGACTATGCCGGAGGCACACACGACCACGGGCTTGAAGACGCAGCTGAAGGAACAAAGTTATAGATAGGTCGCAGACAAGCATGTCCCTTTATACAACCATCTGTCAATGATGCACTAGCTATTGCCATATGAATGCCAATGAGCAATTCGTAAACCAAAGCAACCCGCCAAGTTTCTGCCTACGCCTATGCAACTTTATAGGGGACTGGTGACGTGCATCAGTGAATCATTTAGGCGTCTGAATCCGAATCTTGGAGAGATCAAATGTCTGATCTCTAGATGCTAGCCCACCAATCGGTCCTCAGGGGCACCAAAATCTCCACCACCAGGTGTTCCACTTCCTGGACCGCCTAGTCGGCCTGGAAATCCTCCTGGGAAGCTTTTGGCCCTCTTGCACCACCCGGACCACCTCCAAAACCACCTGAGCCGCCTCCAATACTTCTGCCCAGGCCATATGGACCGCTTGGAACACTTCTTGGATTGGTTTTTGACCACAAAAAATGCCAGTAACAACACCCCATATACCACCACGACTACCCACAGATGCATATGAAACTAAGCTCGCATAAGGATCAGTTTATTAATATGCACAAATGGTAAAGTACTACTTCCTCCGTCCAAGATTAATTGTCCTCTATGATTTTGCCGCCCTACATCTCCATCACAAATGCTTTATTTTTCAATAAAATTTCTGCCAATGGTACGCCTATGTTTTGGGAATATACGGTCGAAATTTTAGGTCAATCCTTTTTAGTATTGAGGATTTGGCAGCACTTTGTAGTAGGGTCCTCCCGCCAAAACTCACCCGTTTTTCAACAAAGTCACCGAAACAGCCGTTTTCCGCGATGGTGAGGAGGAGCACGGCTTTGCGGCAACCAAGCAAGACCGTCTGTGCAAAACTATCTATGCCGTTTGGACAGAAGCTTGGAGGGGTCCCTGTATGCAAGCAAAGAGGCAGAAAACGTGTCTTGGTGGGCTTGATCGTGGAAGTCGCCGTGGCTTCGCTGACCTAATTCGTGATCGATTGGCCAGTTTGGGGTTGCATTCCCAGCCCAGATTTCTGGGCCGTGACCTTTGGAACTCTATCGTTGTTGTGAGAGATACTGCGCAAGGCCCCCCAAGCCCCTTGAAGAGGTGCGAAGGAATGTGATGGCCATCACCCTAATCAATGGCAGACGATTAGGTGAATGGCTTAGATTGGGGGATGGCAAAGTCGACCCTTGCTACGACAATTGAAAAGGTGGAACATGAAGCGTACAGTCAGATAGATTATTTTGTGTCTCTCTGACAAGAAGAGGCTATGCAGATTGGGAAGGGTTGTGGACTGCATGTACAAGTTGGCCGCTAATGCCAATTTTGGGAATGTGGGCCCAGCCACACACGAAGGCCTCGATTCAAATATCAATCGAGGTGCTATATTAGAAAAAGTTGTAGCACAGCCTTAGAATGACAGCACGCACAGAGCCCAAGCTTGAGCATGTTGGGTGTTTGCCTTTTCCGCTTGTGGCACGTCCTTGCGTCGGAGATCCGGGAGGGCGGCGATTTCTGCCATCGTCGATGATGTGACAATGGGCTTATTCGATGGGGAACCAAAAATAGTTGAGCGTGTTTGGCAAGCGCTAAACCACGAGAGGGATGCTGCCCTTTGCTGTGATGGCAAGCACAACTTTGGTTTGGCATGCCTTGGGCGGGAACGACCCAGAACCACATGGATCTTTGACGGACGCCGAATCAGAATGCACAATTTTGGGCCAAATCTTAGGCAATTTCAAGGGGCCGTCAAAGGTAGTGGGGTTGAGTAATTTTTCACAAAAAATTGGTAGTCAATGGTTTTGGGACCCAATCTTTTCGATTCTGACCTTTATCAGTACTTTTGAAGCGGTTTAGATAATGAAATTCATCTTTCAAATAGAGGACAATTAATCTTGGATGGAAGAAGTATGTAAAAGGGTGTAGTATTGAAGAGAGGCAGTCCTAGTCTAGTAGCCTTGTGGTAGCAATTGGGATGAAAATCCTCTTGTCGTTGTTGACTCAACACCCACCATGCCATTCACAACACCAACACCAATTGATATAGTGGTTTTTTAGATGAGTTAGATGCATTTGATTACCCTAAATGGATCTGAGTTGGGTAAATTAGCCTTGTGGTGGCTACAAAGGATATGGGACAATTAAATAAACAATTAAATACAATCTTGTATGATGCACAAATGTAATAACTGCCCAGGGATTCCGAATCCCCATTTTATCCGACTCGTGCACCAGCGGGAGCAACGAAGCTCTTGCATTATTAGTTTCGGAGCGTGGAGCATTCGCACAGCAAGGACACACCGGCCGACGGCCAGGATGGCGAGTGGGGATCCTTACCAGGAGTCTGCCAGACATTCCCAGTGGGAATCCGGGGGGCGAGGCGGGCCAACCCCCATGGAGGTGAATAGAAATGGCAAGGGAGTGATGGCTGCGCAGCACAGAGAAAGTGAGGATCAGCCAGAGCAGCTATTGCTATGGCATGTGGGGGGTGTTGCCACCGCAACTGCGTATCAAGCGACCCTATTCACAATCGCAGAATGGAGTGAATAAGCAGGCGAGGAGCAGAATGCCACTCTCTGCGGCATGGGGGAAGTGCTCGACCGGCAACTTGAGGCTGTGGCAAATCAATCAGCCACGCAGCAGCTGCAGCAAGGCCGCGAGCTACAATCTTTGCAAGAAGGAGTGCACAACAGAATGGCATCCCATGAGGGAGCCATTTTGATGATCGGCGCCGGGCTGGAAAATTTGAGAGAACGGGCCGAATTGCAAGCCCATGAGTTTGGCAGAATGGAGGCCGCCATGCAAGGAGAGTGGCGCAAGGCGCAGGACTGGATGGGCTGGATGGACTGAACTAGATTGGACCGGAAAATGGAGGAGACGGGAAGGAGGCTCATGGAAACGGAGAAGCATTTTATGGCAACGAACCAGAAGTTGGCAAAAAAGATACAACTAATTGGTGCAATTGATGGGGGATGGCTTGCAAGGACTCAGAAGACGTTTCAGAGGTGCGTAAAAGGGTGGTGGTATTGGAATCAGAGAAAGGAGGCCAAGATGCACGGTTGGAGTGGCTGACCAATGCTACGGGAAAGGCCTTGAGGAGATATTGATTGCCAACAAAAGCTTGCGCCAAGCGGCGAAAGTCTTAGGCAACCTCGCCGCCACTGTTCAAGTATAGCAAAACGCACAGGAATCGGTTTCTGAATGAGTGGAAAGTATGGTTGCGAGCCATGCCCGGGAAACAACCACCATGGCCAGCAAGCTCGGCGGCATCAAGCGCACCATCAAGGTGCTGGACCGCAGGGTGTCCGAGGCAACTTCCAGCCTCATCGTTTGGCCGGCTATGTCACCCTCAATAGTTTGGAGTTGGTCACTGTCGCCGGTGGCCTCGGGCATGGGGGATGCAGGTGCCACGGAGGGGGATGCCACCCCCGTGGAGCCTGTTCACAAAAAAAGTTATGCTTTATGAAGGGTTACGCACCCCTGGCGTAATGGGGAGCTGTGAGACGGCAAAAGGTGTGAGTTTTAGAGTTCCTTCGCTACCCGCTGGTGCTGTGTCATGGAGTGAGAGTGCTGTGAACTGGAATGTGAACCGGAATATGGATTGGGAAGCATTTTGGAATAAGCAAATTCCCCACAGCGTGTACTTAGGGTTAATAATGCAAACTATCCCAAGTACTATGGTGCAAACCACTATAGCACTACCGGAGAATTTGGAATGGCGAGTGTGGATTGCAGCAGTCAGCTAGTCTAGATGTATAGCCTGTCAGTGGTCAATCAGCTGGTCCAAGTGGAATTCCGTCATGTGCAAGTTGAGCTGGAGCATTTGGTACTAGAGTTTCAAGACAAGCGGCTTGCCAACCTCCATACTTGGGGGTTAGGCATGCTTTAGGATCTTTATAGTGGCTTGGGACCATACAGATCTCTGGGTGGTGGAGCTAGAGAAGCTGAAGGATCAGGTGGTGATGAACCACCCAAATTACCACCTAGAAGTTCACCGGCTGGCAGCCCGCCTCATGGCCCGCCTGGTGGCCCACCTGAAGATGATGGAGATGATGGCAATGCATCAATGGGTGGCAGCCAAGCATCTTAAAGAGGTGGGTTACTAGGTGCTGGTCTTCAAGCTACTCTACCCACTGTAGATGCTAGTTTTGGCTGGTTATGC